AACCAAGTATTGCTTAGCTTAGCCCATGGCAATCCCGATAGCCATGAAGGTTGGTTACAGATGATTTAAGGTTGGGGTATCTCCGATGACGGGCAACCTGTGGGGAAGACCCCTCCCACCTAAAACAGGGGTTCAAGGTCCCCCAAAGACGGGAAAGGGAGGGTGACCCTACTTGACCTAAGCCAGGAGTGCCTCATTTGAAAATAAAAAGGGGTGAATTGTGGGAACACCAGACCTTGAGCAGAGACCCACTTCCCCTTCTGCCTGGGAGTAGGCAGCTGTAAGACAATGTTTAGTTAAAACATGTTTACTAAAAACGATACAATAAGTTCCTGGCCACTTCCCCTTCTGCCTGGGAGTAGGCAGCTGTAAGGCAATGTTTAGTAAAAACATGTTTACTAAAAATGATACAATAAGTTCCTGGGAAAGGCCTTCCCACAGAAACCGCCCTGACCTCGACCTTGTCCAAAGACTAACCGCACCTTCAAAAACCCACACACATCCACCTCTGGGGTCAGAGCAGAACCAGCCAGGGTAGAGGAGAGAGCAGAAGCTTCTCTGGTGGGAGCTTTTCTTAGGAAGTTTTTCTTGAACCTTTTTGGAGCCTGTTTAAAGTTCTCTTTATATCGTTGAACGAGTCTCTGTGTTGTCAATCCCCGACACCCTCCGCACGTTCTCGGACACAGGCCACGCAGCAGACGTGACATTAGAGATCACCTCAGACCCTCGTACATGTCAGATAAATGCTCTACTACTTAAAGATACCCCAGCTTGATTGCTTGATTTACTTATGTATTTATAGGCAGGTTCTCATATTGGGTCTAGCCTGGTCTTTAACTCTCAGAAATCCTCCTGCCTCAGCCTCCCAAGTACTGGGATTTTAAGTCTGAGCCACTACACCTGGCTATGGAAGAATATTATTCTGTGTTAATATTATGCTGTGTTACTCTGCCTGTCTAAAACACCTGATGGTCTTAATAAAGAGCTGAACGGCCAATAGCGAGGCAGGAGCAAGGGTAGGTGGGGTTGGCAGGCAGAGAGAATAAATAGGAGGAGAAATGGGGGAGGAGCAAAGGGAGAAAACCAGGGGAGGAGGACATCAGGGGCCAGCCACCCAGCCATACCCCAGCAAGCCATGGATTAAGAAGGAAAGTGAGAAAGATAAAAGACCAGAGGGAAAAGGTAGACAGGATAATATAAAGATGAGAAAGGCTGGCAAGACACAGGCCAAGCTAAGGCCAGGCATTCATAACTAAGAATAAGCCTCCATGAGTGATTTGCTTGGGAGCTGGGTGGCAGTCCCCTCAAAAAGGCTAAAGAGCAGCCGGGCGTTAGTGGTGCATGCCTTTAATCCCAGCACTCGGGAGGCAGAGGCAGGGGCAGGCGATCTCTGTGATTTTGAGGCCAGCCTGGTCTACAGAGCAAGTTCCAGAACAGCCCCCAAAACAATACAAGAAACCTTGTCTCGAAAAACCAATTAATGTCTTAAAAAAAAAGAAAAAGGGAAGGAATTAAATAATTGAAAAATAATAACAGATTTTTAAAGTTTCTATAGAATTTATTTCTAGTTTGCAGGGTCTGAGTCTAAAATCTTGGTATTTCAAAAAATAAAAAAATAAGAAAAAAATCTTGGGCCGGGCGTTGGTGGCGCACGCCTTTAATCCCAGCACGCGGGAGGCAGAGGCAGGCGGATCTCTGTGAGTTCGAGGCCAGCCTGGTCTACAAGAGCTAGTTCCAGGACAGCCTCCAAAGCCACAGAGAAACCCTGTCTCGAAAAACAAAAACAAAAACAAACAAAAAAAAAAAAAAAAAAAAAAAAAAGAAAAGAAGAAATCTTGGTACTTCTTACCAAAGGCATTGTTCATCTTTGCAGTATCAATTTTTTTTTCAGGAATTAAAACCTTATTTTAAAAGCTAGAATCAGGGATGGAGATGGCTCAGGGGTTAAGGCACTGGCTGCTCTTCCAGGGGACTCAGGTTTTAACTCCAGTTTCAGGGGATCTGAGCCCTCTTCGGGCCTTTGCAGGTACTGCTCACAGTGCATAGACATGCAGGCAAGAAACACACACTGACCACTTCTACTCTGATGAGCAAGTATGAGGTCGCTCAAAAACATGGCTATAGTGCAGCAGTTCAAACTCCCAGCTGTCTTCAGCTTGAGGACTAATGCCAGGACCAGAAGAATAAGGAAATATTGGAAATCTGGACACACACACACACACACACACACACACACACACACGAACATACATACATATATGCAGGCAAAACACCCAAACACACAAAACAAAACAATAAATAAAAAATTTTACTATGAAGGCAGTGTGGTATAGTGGTATAGGGAAAACTTAGGTTTTTAAGAGATAGGCAACTAGAGCCTAAAGATCAAGTTATGGCTTTCTCTGAGCTTCAAGCTTCCTCCTTGAAAAACGAAGATATCATTATCTCAAAGTGCTGTTGTAAGGATTAAACAGGAACACATGCTCTTCCAGTATGGTATTCTATCTGTGCTTTTCAATCTTGCACTCTCTTTCACTCCTTCCCTTCATCCTTTGCTGCTGTTCCGGGACAGTCTCATGTAACCCAGGCTGGCTAAGACCTTGCTGTACAGCTATGGATGACCTTTACCTTCTGACCCCCCTGCCTCCACCTCCCAAGTGTTGAGATTACAACCTTTTGGCTAGTTCTAGTATTTAAATATCTGACATTGATTTTAACATTTCTATTTACTTTGAAACAGACGACCAAAACTTAGAAAGAAGTCAAGACAGCCGGCATGCATGGACACACAGGCCCAAACAAAGTTGCACACATGAAGCCATTACGGAAGGATGAGTGAGTGTAAACCTATGTGGCTCCATTAATCAGCTGGAGCTTGATTAACAAAAGTAATTACACAGCAAGATAATTAAGGCTAACATGAAGACAAATCCTGACCCATACAGGTAATAGGGGAGCGTTAGGTCATCTGAAAACCAGGTGTGGGGCTCATGCCTGAAATCCAGGGAGTGTGAGACAGATGGCCATCAGAGTCCAGGCAAGCCTGGGCTAAAGAGACTGTCTCAAAAGGCACTCAAAAGACACACTATTGCCCACGCCCCCAAAAAGACCGTTTGACCTTTCGTTGAATGGTCTTGGAGACAAATGGAATACAGTAATATTTAAAACGTTGCCAAATCACAAAGAATTCCCAGATCAGAAGGGAAACTCAAGCAGATCATCACTCTAAAAAATTGCTTTGCTTTTTATGGGAAACTGAAAATAGGTAGACCAAACGTTGGGTTCTAACATTCCATAGTTCTGAATTCAGCAATCAAAGGTGAATGCAGTTTTGAGAAACAAATATTAGCAGCCAAGGAATGCCACAGGTCTTGTTGAACCAACAGTTTGAATGAACAGAATAAACTACCAATTACACCTACAAGTCTTATCAACATCAAGAGCGCGGTAAATGATAACAGCATTCTGCATTTTCCCCGTGCCTTGGAGCGGATTCTACTTTACATACAACATCTCACTATTTCATACTTCAACCCTGGAGGCATATTTTGGGGTTAGTTAATTTTTACACCCAGTGTCCCATAAGAAACTTAAAAGAATAACTCGAAGGTCACAAAAGATCAAGTCCAGAAACAAATTCGGAGTGCATGGTTTCTTTAGCCTCTACACATCGTTTCTCAACCAGGGGGCGCGACCGTTTTGGGAGTCGAACGACGACCCTTTCTCAAGGGCCGCCTATGAGATAGTAAGCATATCACGTATTTACATTTCTATTCCTAACAGCAGCAAAATTACAGTTATGAGGTAGCAACGAAAAGAATTTTATGGTTGGGTCACCACAACAGGAGAACTGTATTAAGGAGTCGCAGCATTGGGAAGGTTGAGAACCACTGCTCTCACATCAGGTTGCCGGTTGAACACCGAGCATGCACAATCTTTGAGGAGTGCGCAAGCAGCACACAGACACCGTGCAGGATAGGGACCCGCTCGAACTCAACTAAGCTAAACTGCGTTAACACAAAACAGACCGCCTGCGCCAGTTCTTCCTCCGGCCCCAGGTCCGCAGCCCTGGGTCTGGACGATGCCCTCTCTCTGCTGGCCTCACTCCCTCCCTCGGGGCGGTTCGGACACACGCTCCTTTCCCTCCAACATCGCATCCCCAGTGCGGCTCAGTGCCCTCACCATGAGTCCACCACCAGAGCTCCTGCCGCGGTGACCGGCACACGCCGTCAGCAGCCGGATCCGAGGCACCGGTCCTGCGACCGCCAAGCAAACTCGGGTCGTGTGGCAGGAAGCTACCCAACGCGCAGTCGCCGCGGCTCCAACCACAGCCCAGCGGAGGGGCACCGCGCCGCCCGCCCTGCGGCCGGAAGCGGGCAGCGAGCCCCGGCGCCGCGGCGGCCGGTCCCAGGAGGTCGGTGCCTGGGTCTCTTCGCTCGCTACGCCAGCGATCCCTGTCGCCGTGGCAGGCCGCACCCGCCGTGGCCAGCCCTCTCCTCCCCTGCCCCGGCAGCCGCCGCGCGCAATGGAACGTCCCGCGGGGGGGATTGTGGGAGGCGCACGCTCGAGGGGTGGGGGTGAAGGCGGCGGCGGCCGTGGCTGCCGTTGGTAGCCGTGGGGGCGGGGAAGGGAGGGAGGCGAGCCGAAGAGGAGGAGGAGGAGGAGGAGGGGGAGGAGGTGAAGGAGGAGGAGGAGGAGGCTCGGGCTCGCGCCGCGGAAGGTACGCGTGAGGGCCTAGAGGGAGCCGGGAGCGCGCGAGCGGGCGCCCCGGAGCGAGCGCGTCGGTGCTGCCGGCCCGGGGCGGCGGGAGGCGGCGGTTGGAGGGCGCAGCTCGCGACCAGTCCAGACACACTCGGAAGCGTGCCGGCGGGCGTGCGCGCTGCGCGTCCGGAGTCGGGTGAGGGGGGACGGCGGGGAGAGCGCGCGGAGGGAGGAGTGGGAGGCGGGGGCGGGGGGGGGGCACAAGGCGCCCTTCGCTCGCTCGCTCGCTCCCTCCCTCCCCAGAGCTGCCGCCGCCGCCGCCGCCGCCGCCGCCGCCGCTCCGCTCCCGCCGCCATTTTGGGTTCGCTTTGCGGAGGGGGAGACGTTCCCGGTCTCGGTCGCCGGACCCGCCTTCCCTCGGTTTCCCCTTCCCGACCTACGCCTTTGGCTTCTCCTCTCGCGCTTCCGTCGGTCCGCTCACCCGCTGGCCGCCTCCTGACAAGCGGGAGGGTTACGGTGTGGACCCAGAGAAGCCGAGGCGCCAGGCTGCCACCCCCTCTCCCCACTTGCCTGCACTCGGCGCTCTCGGCCTCACACGGTGAGTAGTGCGGCGTGAGCAGGCCTTTGAAGGCCCAAGTACTCCCTCCTTGGCTTCCGTGATCCACTGTCACCTCCCGGACCTGGACCTCCGGGAGAGCGGGGTGAGGATGGGGGAGGGGAGAGGAGGGAAAGGGATCCTGAGCTTACCGGGAAGTCCCTCTAAGGCGGGGTAACGGGGTGTCCCTGACCGGCGGGCTCCTGGCTTGGGGGAGGGGGACGGGAAAGTCTGCGAGTGGAGGCGGAGTCGGCTGTGCCCCTGACAGGTTAGTTTGTGTAGTAGGCCTGCTTGGAGCATCTCCCGAGATCCAGTTTGTGTCTGTCCAAGTAAGGGACAGAAGAGGCAAGGGAGAAGGTCTTCAGTCGGCACTGTATCACAAACTCTGTGGTGTTCTCTAACGGCGGAACTGTATGCAGACGTGACATAGTGATCTGAGTGTCAATAAGTTTAATGAATGTCGCTGGTTAGTTTGTACTTGGAAAGAAGTGTTTTGGGTCTTGAGGACCAGATGGTCTGTTGGTTTATAGTTGCTGTGTTTATGTGTGTAGATGCAAAGATGGAAAGTGCTCAGGAGTTTGCCTGCATTTGTGGAAGTGTCATGGAGTTCCCTTTATAAATTAGCCTGTTTTAAAACGAATGTTGGGACGTGTCCTCCAGGTCGATTAGTGCACATGTATTTTGGCATACTAGATGATAATACGGCATGCAGGCTAGGATCAGGGAGGAAAGAAACTTGACATAGTTTGTCCCTTTGAATAGAGTCAGTTGTATAAATATGAAAGCCCAGAACATCATCCTTAGAGTAATCAGGCTCAGAATAAGGCCGTGAGGATTTACAGTGGTGCTTATGTTAGCATAAGGTTTTTATATGCAGAACGCTTTCAGTTTTCCTGTAATCCTAAAACTCTGAAAATGATAGGAAATTGAGGCATGAAGAGGTACTTTTCCAAGGTCACATATTAAATTAGGGGCAAAGTAGGGACTACAAGATATTTTGTTTACTAACTTAATAATGTATTGTCCATATCATAGTGCCTCAGGAGATTGTTATCGGCAAATACAAGGGTATTTGGAAAGGAGGCATATGGTTGGATTATGCTTGTGAGAGCCTAAAGTGTCAAACATGTATGGAATGAATATACACTGTCCTTGCCTGTGACGTGTATGAGATAGGTATTTTAACTGTTTTGTGTGTACAGAGCATTTCTGACACTTTAGTGTGTATGTTTGATAAGTGAAATGCCTAATTTGTATCAGGCTGTTGTTTGTTGCTGGTTTGGGTTTTTTTGGGGGGGGGGTTGCATCTGGGTGACTAAACCCAAGGCATTAAAGCTGCCAAAAGCATTTTACCACTGAGCTACACTCCCATGTGGGCAGCTTTTAGCATTATATTTACAAGAGAAAGGATCTTCTTTGGCTCATTTAACAACAACAAAAATGATTGCATACTTAATAATTGATCCCTGTCTTGGTAAGAATCATCACGATTTGTTGATTAACTGTTGAAATAGCTTGGGGTGCATATGAGGGGAGTTGTTTATTTATTGAGAACAAATAAATCAGTGTGGAATTGAAACCACAAAACTTTCTTTAAACGCCTATTCAATCTGAGTGTGGTGGATCAAAATTGTAATTCCAGCATTCTGGAAGCTGAAGCAGGAGGATCATGAGTTCAAGCCCAGCCTATGCTTTGTAAGTTTAATGTTACCTTATCTTAGAAAACAAAATAAGGGGCTGGAGATATGGCTCAGTGGTTAAGATCATTATACTGTTCTTTCAGTGGACCTGAGTTCCAGTTCCCAACACTCAGTTCAGATGGCTCATAATTGCCTGTCACTTCAGCTCTAGCGCATGGGCACCCTCTTCTGGTCTCTGCTGACCCCTGATGTATACACACACCCCTTTTTAAACATGTAAACACTATTTAATTTCACACACATGTTTAAAGATTTAAAAGTCTACTTAATTTAGAAGGAATTTAGGTTGCCCACTTTAGTGTGGAAGGGCACAGCAGTAAGATCAGGATGATGTGTTATAAGAGAGCTCACTTTCTCTAACATTTCCCTTTTGTTGCATTTTTGAAACAGAGTCTCAGTCTACAGAGCTCAAACTGGCTCAGTTATGTGGCCCAGGCTGTCCTCAAATTTGAGGATTGTAATCTTCCTGCCACAGCCTTCTGGGATTATAGGCATGAGCCAACTTGCCTGGCTTCTTTGGCAGTTTCTTTTGGCATTTATGAGTAAACTGTTTTTGGGATCTGTGAATTATTGATATGTGCCTTTGGATATTGGAACTTCTTGGCTGGACTGTAGAAATTCTTCGAAAGGCTAATTTTGTATTAATATTCCTCTATGAATTCGAGGAATCTTTGAACTAACTCAACTAATAAGTCTAGATTAGTGGTGCTTGTGTGCATACATATTTATGTATATGTGTACATACACATTTTTTTCCCTGAGAATCTGAAGAAATAGAGACCCTACATTAAAAAATAAGTATGAGTACAATCACGTGAATTATGTATATACTTTGTTTTTTTCTGAGTTAGAATCTTACTATGTAGCCCTGGCTGTCCTGGAACTTGATGTATATAGAACAGGCTGGCCTCAAACTTCCAGAGATCAGCCTGTCTCTGCCTCCTGAGCTCTGGGATTAAAAGAGTGCACCACCACATCCATTGAGTATGCATATACTTACAGGAATTTAAGTTGTAATCAGATAGAACCAATTTTTATTCAGGTCTTGTTTGAGATACCCACTTTCCCCTTAAATTTTGTTTTGGAGTAGAGAAGCCAATGTAAGTTTGAAGGTGAAGGTTGTGATAGTACTTGAATGTGTCACCAGGAGAACTTCAGGATCATGGTTTTAAATTTGCCAGGCATGGTAAATTTACAATTGGCAGGCGGGGTGATTTATTAGAGCATTTAAGAAAAGCCTAGGCAGAGAGATTATTACAAATTCAAGGCCAGCCTGGATTACATAGTGAGTTCTAGGCCAGCATGGGCTGTAGAGTAAGATGTTCTCAAAAAACCAAATTAGAAAAAGAGAATTTTTCTTCTTCAAATGTATGTTAAACAATTGAGTTATATTTGATTGTGTATGCAATGTAGCAGAAACTTCTTTGGCTTGCTTTGTAACGCCTTTATATTCTCATTCTTGAGAAGTAGTGTCTTTTTTTCCACTTGTATGTTGAGATGGATAATTTGAAATCCTCCCCCCATTCTGGTTTTTATTTTGTTTTATTTTTTGAGTTTCATTACTTTTGTTTAGATTGCATGTTTCATTACTACTACATGGAGAACACTTAAGATAATGATATGTAGTTTCTGATGTTCTAGAGATTTTTATCCAGTTGAATTTACGACTTGTGTAATGTTTAGGATTCTCCAGACTTGGAGAAGGAATTGAGATTTTGCAACTTGATTGGAAAGAGTTTTTGGTAGTATTTATTATTTTAATTAAAATTTATTTTCGTGTGTGGGAGAGTATGCTTGCCATGGTACACATGTGGAAGTCCAAGGACAACTTTGTGGAGTTGTTCTCTCTCCATCTTTGCATAGTTTGGAGTCAGAGTCAGGTCTACAGGCTTTTGAAGCAAGTGCATTTACTGACCTGTGTTTCTGCCTTGTTTATTTTTGAGAAGCTATAAAATGCTCATATTGTATGTAAGGGTATATATTTAAAAATGCTTTCAGGGGCTGAAGAAATAGCTCAGTTAAGGGCACTTACTGGTCTTGCAAAAGACCAGGTTTGGTTCTCAGTACTAGAATGGGGGTTCACAACTGCCCTTAAGTGTAGTTCCAGGGAATCCAACACTTTCTTCTGCCTCTGCAAGCTCTTAGATGAATGTGGTGCACATAAACTCATCTAGGCATACGTATGTAAATATAAAAGTAATAACTTGTGTGACCGGACGTTGGTGGCACACGCCTTTAATCACAGCACTCGGGTGGCAGAGGCAGGCGGATCTCTGTGAGTTCAAGACCAGCCTGGTCTACAGAGCAGAGTTCCAGCCTCCAAAAACAACACAGAGAAACTGTCTCAAAAAAAAAAGACAAAAAACAAAAAAAAGTATTTTTTTTAAAGCGGCTTCATGCTGGTTGTGGTGGAGCATGCCTACCAGTATTTGGGAAGCAGAGGCAGGTGAATCTTTGTGAGGTCAAAGCCAACTTTGTCTACAAAGTGTAGTGAGAATGTGCCTGTAAAACAAAAAACAAAACACATGCATCTGATGTAAGAAAGCAAATGCTGGTTGAATTTCTGACTTTGGTTTGGAATGTTTTTGTGGTACATTTGTTACCAGGCCTATCTTGCTTTGTTTTTTGACCCCAGGATGGCACTACTGTGTTTACCTGTTGGGAATTTCTGTAAAAAGGTCTTGATGCCATTTTGGGGTATATATAAATGCAAAAACCCTTCTGGATGTAAAAATCATTTGACAACACCCAGTGAAATTACAATTAGAAATTAAAAATAATTAGTGTACTTTTAAAAGAGCAGAGTATTAAGAAAGGCAGTTAACTTACTCTGGAGAAGGTATTTTCACAGGATAGACTATAGGATCATAGTAAAAAGGTTTTGTCTTTTCCTTAGATTTATTCTATTTTATGTATATGAATGTTTTGCCTGTATATATGCATGTATACCATGTGTGTTCCTGGTGTCCATAGAGGTGAGACAAGTGTCTTGGATCTAGAGAACACATGGTTGTCAGTCACTGCGTGGCTGCTGAGAGCAGAATTAGAGTCCTCTGCAAGAGTAACAAGTGCTCTTACAAGCGCTGAGCTATCTTTCCGTCCCCTCCCTGTCTCTTGTAAAGCTAGTGAAAAGAAAAGCTATGTATCTGTAAAAAATTTTAATATTTTCTCCAATGCTTAATGCGTGTGTGTGCACCCGCACACGCGCTTTGTCCCTGTGTATTTCAAATACTTTAAAATTAGTAACTGGGGGAGGAGGGCAGTATCCTGGAATTCACTGTGTAGCTCAGATTAGCCTCAAATGTACTCAAGTCATTTTGCCTCTGCCTCCCAAGTCCTGGACTTAAGAGGCCTGAGCCACCTTGAGCTACACAGGAGGATCACTTAAGCTTATCATGAGTTTGAGGTCAACCTAGG